AGAACAACGAGTAATAATATATATATATATATATATATATATACAGGATGATTCAAAAATATATATTGAATATTTCAAAGAATTTACATTTTAAGAAATGTAAACAAATATCGAAACAAAATGTTGGAAAATTCGTGAATAAAGTGGATCTATTACATGGCTATATTATTCCCTGATATTTTACCCTGTTAGATTTTTATTCTTGAACTAGTTTTTATGGAAAAAAATAAAAAGGAAATAACTGATATTTGCGAATTTTTTACTATTCTAAGATATAAACTAAGATATAAATCAATCAGTTGTTGTATTTTATCGTTGTATTGTATTTTAATCTATCTAAATAAATCTTCTGAAATATTGACATGTATTTCTGAAACACCCTGTACACGAATAACTTTCTATTTCTGCACGAGATTAATCCCAAAACTGCTTATTTCTAACCAAACTCCAATGCCGCGTAAGATTTATTTTTAACGAACTACTAATCCAACTTCAATTCCAAATTCGATCCAACGTCACCTGAGCGAACAATTATTCTACCTCATTTTCCTAGATTGACACGTACTTGTGAAACACCCTGTAGTACGCGTGCACGCGAAGCGGTGAAGTCGCGCGGCAGCCGCACGCGAAGCAGAAAGCATAGATCATGGCGGATGACGCATGGTTGCATTCGGTTGCGCCCGTCGGCAGAGGGATGGAAACGCGCGGATGAAGGATAGGGAATGGCCGGGTCAGCCGTGATACGGCGCAGGAACTCGAGCAAAGGGGGGTGGGGCGGGAGAAAGCATTTTGGAATGTCGTGGCTACTCCCGGTCGCGGGGAGATCCCGGAACACGTCCTTGTCCAGGCGACGCACGACGCCTTACCACTCCCCTCCACAGCTCACAACTCCACCTAGGACACGGTGGCCCTGTGTCTAGTGTCCACGCATAACTAAATTTTCTTACCTCCTTTACCGCTTCGACCGCGACAATTCCGCGATTCGGGCCCGGTTGGTTGGAGGACTTGGATAGCAGTTGGTATGGATGATGGAGGTTAGAGAGAAAGTTTCGCGTGGCGATATATATATATATATATATATATCTGTTGTGTACAGGGTGTGAGGATTTTAGAGTTTAGGTATGGGGCACCACCGAGGGTATTGATTGTTAGTAGGTGGTTTAACTGTTTTAACCGTTGGGAGATATATGGGAGGAGTGGAATTCTGATTGCATCGGGTGGGATGGGAACTAGTGGCTGGAACTTAGGTTGTAGTGATGTGGTAATTATGAATTGGAAACTATTTCTTTTGGTCCGTCTTTTGGTTACGATTTTTTGTAGTTTTTAAATATTGAAATATTGTACGTGGATTTATTCAATTGTATAAATACGGTAGAAATAGATACATCTTTTTTTAAGTTGATTAACATTTGATCATTTTAAATTATCTTGACAGATTATCAGAAATCTTCTTGCCAAAAAAGGAAAAGAGTACATATCTAATTAAAAATTCAAATTTCCCAACCAATCACACGTTTCCACCACGATCACAGTTACCTAACAACAACAATATTTTCAGATCCTAAACTAAAAACAAGCCAATCCATAACGTGCCCAAAACCAACAACACTTCCCCCTCCCCTCCCCCCCCAAAAAATCAACTCATTTCCTAATCGTATCAGCACCTAAAAAACAACTCTCCCCCCCCCCCCTTCCTCTCCTCGTTGAGCCCGAATCTACATAACCTCTCTGGGTTCCCTACTACACAACCGACAACATCAAACAACCGATCTCCCTAAAACTGAACGCGTAAGTACACTCGACAACCATCGCCTCTCCCCCTCCTTCCTTCCCATCCACGGTATATCGGTGACATCGGTAAATCGTTCGAAGCAGCTTTATCCTTGAGCAAACGCGTCACAGAGAGCCGGCCGCGCATCCGGCCGTCCCCCCCGGGGGGGGGGGGGGAGTGTAGTAAATGGCGTGTTCGTGGTGGTGGTGGCTCGGGCTAAGCTGTAAATTTGGCGTATAACCATCGAAGGGAGTAGGGGAAGGGGATAGAGGGAGAGGGAGAAGGAGAGAGACATAGAGATGGAGAAGGGGAAGGGGGGGGGTTTAGCTCTGGTCGAGTAGGCCAGAGCTGTGCCGGAGAGCTCCCGCGGCTGGTTGTGTCTGCCGCCACCTGGGCGTACGTACGTGTACGTGTGTGTACGGATGCGGGCGTGCGTGTGCACGTGCGCGCGGAAGGGTGAGACAGGAGACGGGGGTCGTGGAAGCATTCATAGCAGGGACCAGAGGGTGGCTTCGGTGGAATGCGTCCCGTTTAATATCGCGGAACATTATATATCGCCTCTCTTGTCCCTACGTTGCCCGTACCGCACGCTATAACACGTACAAACACACGTGGAAACGCGTATACACACGCGCGCGCGCGCACAATCCAGCCACGATCCCTTGGCTGGCGACATTGACTCGTTTTGTCGCCAGTTTTGTAGACACACGCGGTGGCTTCCTTCTACGAAAACTCGAATTCTCGCGTGAGCGGGCGTTTATTATTCGCGGGGATAGCAACATTGCAATACCGTTCTTAACTTCGACAAGCGTATTGCTCTTTCGTATTGGTTATATCGGGGGATAGATGAGAAGTTAAGTTAGGAGGTTAAGTTAGGTTATGGGTGAGTAGGAAGTTTTAACGATACGTTAGCATTGTCTTTTTTTATCGAACCATGGTATGCTAAGTTTTCGAATATGTCGGTTAGATCAGAGTTGATGTTTTGTATTATTAAATTTGAATTTTTTGATCGAATTATTACGTTAAGTATCATGTTAAAATGAAATTTTTTTTAATCGA